AATTTTTTTAGTTACTTTCTAGTTGCCATGCCTAGTAAAATGATGCCATCCCAGGATTGTTATGATGCCATACATCCCAGGATTTTTCTGGAGGGGAGGAGGGTTTTTCTCAGCTAAACACACCCTCCTGTCTGTATGCCTGAGCTAAGGGCAGATGGCTTCCAGGAAGTAAATGCTATATGAATCATCTGCCCTCTGTGACCACAGCCAGAAATGCTATGGGGTATTTTTCTAAGTGCTTTGAATATTAAAAATGAATTAAACAGTGCTTTTGATTTGTTGTGCTCAGATACAGTGTAGTTCAACTTTAAAGGCTAGTCCACCTTTTGGAGCATACTACATGTTCTACCCAATTTTTAGTGTAGAACATATAACATTTTACACTTCCTGTGGCCAGTGGCCAGTTCCCCTCACCCACCCTCCCCTCGGTGTGATAACGGGTCAAGAATTTTCTCTCCGCATCTGCTGTTGCAATTTTTAAAACAGCGCAGCCCTACAGGGCTTTGCCCACATGCTCACATCATGCATTCACAGTCTCCTTTGAATGGATAGACTACAACCATAATCATCCACCGCGGCTGACGGCTTGTAGGTTTGAATGAACAGCAAGGATGCTAATGAGCGCTCCCGTAGTTAATTCACAAGCCTTTCAGCTTTAAACAGACAGTCCATAAGAAGGTGCAAGCAGAAAGCTGCAGGGCTTGTCTGCAAAAGCCTGACCATTGCCCCCCGTTTCACTGATCACAGGTGCAGTGCTATCCAGACTCCTGCAGGAAAAAAATAATAAATGCACATTTTTTTTCCTGCAAAAATATGTGCATTTATTTTTACACTTAATATTGAAAGGTGAACATATCCTTTAAGCCACAAAAGCAGATTTCAATGTATCCAAACTGGGTGCACACGCAGCAGAGAAGGACCCCACAATAAATCTTTTAAGAGATGATGTGACCTCACATTTGTATATATGCAACAGACATCTCTACTGTTATTGCAATTGCTACAAACCATTTATAGTGAGGTACTCTGTGCTGGTTAACTGAATTGTTCTTAGGAAAAACGCTCCCACCTATAAGATAAAGAAACGTACAGCAATGTATGAAAAATGCCGGTAATAACACTTGCGGTTGCAAATGCAGAAGTGTGAATAAGTACTAATGACACTTGAATGCTCTAAAAGCCTCCCAGAATTTATCACTAAAGTATCCCACAGGACTATTCCCAGGATATTGGTGATTACCACTGCTAATAAACCTCACTGCTTAGTAATCATTTTCAAATTTTGCAAAACCTAACAAAGAATATGGCAGAGAAACCACCGCTTGTACAAGGACACCATACTGAGCAGGCATTATACTGTACGGCTCAGGGACGCTTGTTTCAAATTTCTGCGACCTTCAAGGACACAAAATGTATTTTTAGACTACTGGCTATATTTGTCCAAACCTAGTCTTTCTAAACATAGGATAAAATTAAATGTCAACAGAATTTCCTTTTATTCAATGCATTACTATCCAGTGAAAAACATGAACAGCTTAATTTAAGCTAGATTAGCTGTCTTTGGGACTCTAACTTCTGCTGAACAGCCTTTTTCTGGGTGCCAGTTAGCTGTGTAATAAGCATGAAGGGTAAGATTGACTTCAGGCATAAAAGTGAAATCATTCCTCAATCAGGAAAACACTGCAAGTATACTTTGATCAGAAATATAGTATTTAATGTTCCTTAACTAGAGTTTAAAAATAACTCTCATATACTCCAGTGGGGTCGCTATGGGGGTGTGGGGGGTGCGAACCACACCTAAGTGACACCCACCAGAAGGGTGACATCACGTAGTTATATTCTGGGTTATGACTGCAATAAGGTGACAACACCGGAGAAGGGGTGGTGATCTCGGAGGAGGGAGGATAAGAGTACAGTTCGCTCCTCCTGAACATAGTGACATCATCACGCAGTGTGCGCTCCCCAGATGTCCTGGTAATAGGCGTTTGTTTACTAGTTGGAACTGGACGGAGTGATGTTGGCTGGGGGAAAGGTGAGAGACCCTCCTGGGGGAGGAAGGTGCAGGGGAATTGTGTGCAATGTTAGATTTTGGGGTGCAGCAAAATTAAAATGGGGGGCTGCAGGGGAATTTTAATTAAGGGGGAGTGTGCGGGGTAATTATACTTAATGGGGGGGATGTGAGGTGTTATAATGGGAGGTGGGTGTTATGGGGTAATTATAACAGGCCAGGGGAATGTGGGGTAATTATAAAGGGGTGGGGGAGGAATTACAGGGTCATTTTAATGTGACGGGGGTAGGGGGAAATACCATGGGGTAATTATAGTAGTGGAGTAGGGGGATTTATGATGGCGGGGTATGTAATTGTAACGGGGGAAATACTCCAGGGTACTTAGAACTTTAAAGCGCGTGTGTGGGCCTGCAGAATTATGAAAATGCAGCAGCCGAGAAAGCACCATCAATTTCCATGAACGCTCCATATTTGGCAGCCCTCCCTGAACGTTTTTAAATAGCTGCGTGTTTTAGCTGCGGGTCCATTTTCAAGCAGCTCATTTGGATTTTCTCATCCTGCACAGGTGTGCATTTTGTCTTTATAAAGAGGCACTGTCACACTGCCTGTTCACATTTCACTGAAGCATTACTTTTGCCCATTTAGGACAAAGTGACAATGTCTCCTGATAGTCCAGACCCCGCAACACAACCCTTCTCCACCTCCCCACTCAGTGGGAGCCTTTGCTCTAAAAGAGATCTTCTGTGTATGGAGTAGAATGTTACCCAAACAAATATTTAATTGAAGTATTAAATTTAAAGAGGATCTAAAGTGAACGCAAATAGTTAAAAGCTAACTTTACAGTACATGTAGTGCTTCCTGCTTTACTACCCCACTAACCTCAGTATAAAGCTATGAATCAGCTTAGACCATTAAGGATTTGTTGTTAAAGCTGAACTCCAGGCTTGGTTTTTATTGCATAGTTACATTGGTCCAGCTTGTGCCAAATGTACATATATTCCAGACCTGTGGGATCATTGTAGAATTGGAGAATCACTGTAGTAGTTGGCACTACTACAGCGATTACTGCTGTCTTCCTGGATCTGTGAAACGTGTATTGAACACAGTGGGTCGCTCACTCAGCATGGCAGCCATTCACAAAACACCTTGAATTTTTTTCAACAAATAAAAGGCTCTCACTGATTGGACAAAATGGAGATCATGACATTACCCCTTGCCTCTCTACTGCCTCTACTCACAAGAATGCCTTGTGTTCATTGAAAAAAAAAAAAAAAAAAAAAAAGCATTTTTAAATGGCATCTTATCCAAATGAGCGACCCCCTGTGTTTTCTATGAAGATCAGCAGCTCAGCACAGGATCCAGAAGATCGTGGCAATCACTGTAGTAGCACTGATGACTGCAGTGCTTCTCTGAATCCACATCAATTCCATGGGTATAAAATATGTATACCTTCACTGGTCCAAGGTGGACCAATGCAACTATGCAATAAAACCATACCCGGATGATGGTGTATCCTGAAATTGATTTTATTAAAAAGGATGCAGACTTGTTTAACATAAAGAAAATAGATAAATAGTTATCACTGGGGCCTTGGGTTCAATTCCTACAAGGAAGAATATCTGCAAGGGCTTTGTATGTTCTCCCTGTGTTTGGATAGTTTTCCTCCCTCCATCTAAAACATATTGGCACTCTAAATGCCTTCCACTCAGATTGACCTTGAGTGTCAGGATGTTGGAGTTTGTGCAGGGAAATTCAATAGTAAGCTTACACAGGAGAAGGGTATGGTATGAATACTTCTAAAATAAACCTGTCTCAATGGACATATGGATGCTGCCATAATGCTGGCCTCCTCCTACAAATGCTCACTGCTGTGCTCTGTCTAACGTCAATACTGGTCACAGACCTGAAAAAGTATGTCCCAACAAAGAGTGAATGCTTTATTTCTATATTTGTTCTGTGTGTATGACTCAAAGTATCCAGACAGGCAACAAGAAGGTGGCCAACAATGGCTTCCCCATATATATCTCATGACAAGCTTCTTTATAACAGTGGTCTCCAAACTGTGGCCCAAGGGCCGGATGTGGCCCTTTGCTAGCCTTCATCTGGCCCTTAGGGCACTATTCCTCCCAATGATATGAGACTCTATTCAACCTACTGACACCAAGAGTGGAGCATAAATCCTCCCATTGACACCAATGACAGGGCACTAGTCCTCTCATTGACACCATTGACAGGGCACCAGTCCTCCCACTGAAACTAATGACGGTACACTAGTCCTCTCACAGACACATGACGGGGCACTGCACCTCCCACTGACACTCACAGTGCACTAGTCCTCCCACTGACACCAATGATGGGACACTATTCCTCCTGCTACAAACCAACGACCCCCAGGCAATATTTATTCTCACTGATGCTGGGTTTGGGGACATTTTCTACCCCACTGGCCATAATCCCGCCCTAAAGTCTGCAGGATAGTACACTGGTCCTTAATTTGAAAAGTTTGGAGACCCCTGATTTATAAGCTCTGCTAAATTTTAAGTGATATACACAAAGGAAAATGATAATTATAAATATCGACTAGAGGGAAACCCAACATATCCATAAATGAAATATCATCATAAACATATGGCACAGCAATCAGGTAAAATAAAAAAAGTCACAATGAAAATTACTTTTGCATAACCTTTACACTAACTCCAAGTGACTAGTCGCTGAAAAGGCAATATCCATTCCATTAAAGTTCAACCGCAGTTTTTGAGTAAAGGCTGCCTAACCCAGCTTCACAATTTCAACAAACAGCCAAACACCCCGTTATATATCAACGTATATAAAAAACAATCATATCTAGCTTCCACGGATAACAGGCATCATGGACTGTGAACTGCCAATTAATCAAACTGTATCACAGGCCCAGCTCTGATATCTGTGTGCATAGATCCAAAGGGTTAATGACAGGGAGGGGAAGGGAGAAGAGAAAAGGGGGATCCACCTTTTGTAGACAATCTTCAGATCTCTCCATTCCAGGAAGCTGCACATTTTCGGTTTTCGGGCCAAGACAGTCTGAACCAACTCCCTGGTAATCTTCTTCTTCTCCTTGTCAGACAGTGGCACGTACCACTTCTGGAGCCGCAGCTTCCCCTGACGGCTGAAGAGTAACATAAACTGCATCTGTGGAGCCACAAAAAAAAAAAAAAAAAAAAAACATTAAAATGCTGCAAGAGGAGATTTATGGAAATGACAAAAACCTCAACATGTTCTACAACTAGGTACAGCAAATATAAAGGGAAAAAAAATCAATATGAATCAATAAAATATTCATGACTTGTCTTCCGAGTGGCATTGTTCCTCCAGTACCAGGATCCGACGTGTTTGAATGAAATTAGGGGCTTGCGGTCCTTTTATTTCTACATCACAATAAAGAGGTTGTTCTATAACAGACGCTTATCTGCATGCATAGCTTTGGCAAAATCCCAGTTACAGCCCTGTGACACACGTGAGGAGGGGAATGGTTGTGGGAGTTACTATGCAGAAAGACAGCGAACGAGAGAGAGCAAGAGAGAGAGAGGGAAGGCACCAAGCTAGAGGGGGTCAACAGACAGGGAAACTTAACCAGCAACCTACTATGGAGAGAGCCATCAATGGCAGAACATGTATACGATCTGTCATCTGCAATGCCTCCACTCTGCTGCAAGGATTCCTCCTCACTGGGTGTTTTCTATTATCTCTGCATTGTAAGTAGGCTGTGTTTTCAAACAGCGGGCAGCATAGAGAGAGGTATCGAAGAAACATACACTGCAGGGGAATTTCAGCTGCTCAGTAATAATACAGTAGACAACAGAAATCCTGTTATTTACATCACTGCAACCCATACTATGGGCAGACATGGGGGCTTCTTTCTGTAGAACAGTAAAGTTTGTAGACACTGAATGTGATAATAGCCCACAGGCCACAGATAATCATAGGCTGCAATGCAGAAAAATCTGGGTGAGCTTACCATGACCTGACAGTAGAATTAGATGTGACTATACAGAGAGCGGAGGTTCAAATGAGTGTTTGCTATTTCTGTTATGTTTTCTGTGCTGCTGAATGGTGGCCTCTTCTGTTCGCAATGCTACACCCATCCAATACAAATGACATCCTGTTTTTTTTAGGTCTTAGCCCTGGTTCCCACCACTGTGACTTCAAGTGGGACATTCGATTTACAAATCACACCTGAAGTCGCATCTAGTGTATTTCTATGGCACGGCCGTAATAGGTGCGATTTCAAGTAGCGCAATTTGAAAAATAGTTCCTACTTTTTAATAGTTTACTTTTTTATCACTTCAGTGCGATTTAACTCTCAGACTATAAGGTAAACGGCCCTGAAATCGCACCTATGTCGATATCAGCACACCTTTAAAGTCACGCTTTAAATGGGACCAAATTGCATCACTTTGAAATTGCATCAGTGTGAACCAGGGCTTATGGGCTTAAAGTATATGTACACCCAATATGCTTTAGCACGGTAATGTCATTTCAAAAGTTGCTTTTTAAATCGATTCAAAGTGTTAGTTCATCTTTACAGAAAAAATGTAAAAGATGAACACCGTACATCTTCCCCACCCTCCAGTTCCCGCTGTACTTTCCTCAGGATATGCAGAGCTGTCAGCACCCCCACAGCCAAGCCAGCACTTTCGGGATTGACCAGAGCTGGTCTGATTGGTCAGCGCCTGCGCAGTGAATCGCCCTGGTCGATCCTGTAAGCGCTGCACAGAAAAGAGATAGAAGAGAGGGGATTTCAAATCCCCAGACCACTGGCTGTATGGGCATTGACAGCTCAGCATCCCCAAAGCAAATACATTGGGAACTGGGGGTGGGGGGAGTTATGGTGTTCATATTTACCCTTTTTATGTAAAGTTGAACTTACCTTTGAAAATTGTAATGCACGTTAAAAAATACCTGGTTATCCTGCTATTAAAAAGGAGATATGTAGCAAAAGCTTTTTTTTTTTTTGCTATACTTCTCCTGTATATCACAGAAGTGCAGTTCATTCTGACTTTAGCCCGCTATCATCTGAAGAAATGTCACAGGAGTGCAGAACGAACTGCACTCCTGTGACACATTTTCAGATGATAGTGGGCTAAAGTCCACTGCCAGCTGATGTCACAGAGCCGGTTGATCTGAAAAGATCCTGACCATATGGCTGGGATTTACCCAGAAGTGTGGACCGGCACCTGACTCAGAGATCTGCCTCTTGTCCCCTCAACACAGCCCAGAGCTCCAGTGAGCTATGGAGGGGCAAAATAGAGAGCCAGTCATTGACTGACTGTTTGATCGCTCAGTTCTCACTGCAGAGCCGGCAGGGGACAGAAGCAGCATTGGAGCGATACTGCATCCACCTAGGTGAAAATAATTTTTTTTTGTCAAGTCCATACTTCTCTTTTAAAGTCCTGGTTCACATACATTCTGCTACAGGAGTGACAATTTTCTCCCAACCGCCACACTGTAAAATGTGCCCACGAATGAGACTACAAATGGCAGTGTTGAAAAATAATTCCCAGGCATATTCCACCATTGTCACCATCACTAAGGCTAGGTTCACATCTGTGCGGTGGTGCCGCTGAGGATCCACACGAAAATCCGTGCAGCCGCCCAGTGAAATACGGACCCGCCGGCAGCTGCCATTAGTTCTACAGGCACGCCGTACGCACTGGAAAAAGCAACTGTACTGGGAACCGAGGTTCCCATGTGGGCTGCGTTTTCAAAAGAAGTGCAGGGACTTCTTCTCTACGGGGCACGGGAGTCTATTCAAGTGAATGGGCTCTCGTGTCCACGCAAAACACAGCCCGCACTGCCCCATATATGTGAAACAGGGCTAAAACAGTCCATGACAATGTTGTGCAGCCAGGAAGTAGCTGGAGAAGATCAGAAGCACTGAGATGAAAATAAAGATGACTAAAAATAGCGATTCTTTATGGTACTTTAGCACACTATATGTTAGATCTACTTTAAAGTATAAGTAAAGGCAAAACTTTTTTTTAGTTAAGGATAGCGTGGATAGGTATTAGAACACCTGCCAGGTTTTTATTGCCATCTGTGTCCCCATTAGGGGGATTCATACTCTCTATTTGTCCTGGTAACCGTTCTTACCTAATATAAAAGTTTAGAAAAAAAGAAAAGTGAAGAATATTATGGAAGTATTCCAATCCAGTGAAAATCAATGGTTCCCTCATTTTGGAGGGATTTCTTTTCACTTCCTGTTTGGTTATTGGCCAGGGAGAGAAAGGGAAAATCTCCCTAATTTGACACAGATGGCAAACAAACCTGAAATTGGTTATAACCCTCCCTTACTTTAAAGAATTTTTTTTTTCATTTTGGATAAAGTGTTACTAAACCCAGGACCCTGCATTCACTATATCTGGTCTCCCATAATACACAGAACTTGGAGATGCAATTATTTTAGTAAACAAACTGCTAAATACCTTTTCTCATCAGCAGTGTATAGCAGTCGTGTGACTTCTATCAGTGTCTAGCTGAGCACTGGTTAAAGGTTGTAGGAATTTTCATTCTGGTCTGACTGTCCTATGAGGCTGCACAACCCCTGACTCTCGGTCTGGACAGTGCTGATTTACCCTGTGCTGATCACATGCCCCCTCCCCAAAAAAAAAAAAAAAAAAACTCTCTAGCAATACCCCTTAAATCAGCATATGTAGAGTGACTCCTAGAGCTGTGTAAAATCAGCAGATGGATTGGGGACAGTTAAAGAGGGGGATGATCAGAGAAGACAGGATCAAGCAGCCTATTTACACAATGTGGAGGGTTAACCCATAGTGAGTATAACAAGATTGCTTTACTATATATACAGACTGATTTTACTGATGTGGGTTTAGTAACACTTAATTTATGCTAGGTCCACACTGTTGCAAGCTTGCAGGCTGCGTTTGCGCAGGCAAGGCATCCTATTTATTTGAATGTGCTGCTGTGCCTGTGTTTCATGCAGGAAATAGTTTCCTGCAGCATTTTACAAACTCAGCAGCCAGGCTTTTGCACCATGCAATTTCCATAAGTTTCCAGCAGCTACAAACGCGCTAAGTTATTAGATGCATGGGGGTGCCATTAAGAATGAATGGCAGCCCCGCGTGGTTTTAAAGAGCAGAGTGTTTTGGCTGTGGGTGGTTGCAAGTGCTTGCCACTGTGGTTTCACCTTTGAAGTTGTATACTCTCAATGATGAAGTATAAATGAGCTAAGTATCCAGCAGCAACAGTAAGACCCCGATTTACACTGGATGCGAATTGGCATGAGATTTGCATGCCAGGCAACTTGCAAATTGCATGCTCAATTGCAGCCTATTGTCCACAATTAGAGCGGTCATATAAGTGCGGTTCTGACTTGGTCGGAGCCGCACCGATTTCTAAATTAGTACATGAACTACTTTCGGTGCAATTTGCATAGACATCTGTATCAGATGTCTTGCAAATTGCACCTGAAATCATCTTGATATCCAACTTTGAAACCAGGCGACTTCACTGTAAGTCGCAAGATTTTGAAGTAGGGTTTGATGTGACCGGGGTGTAAAACAGGTCACAGTAAATGCATGAATATGGGACTTGGTGCAGAGATTTTGTCACCAAGAGAGATGTAGAAAGCTGCTGGTTAACACAACTTTCTGAATAAGCTGAAATCTAAAATATAAGATAAGGTCCATGTGAAAAGGAATATTCACAACAGAGGGAAGGTGGGGGCACAAACATACACATTTACTACCCTGTGTGTAGAAGTTTTCTTCTACACACAGAAAAGTCATATAAATGATGCCGATTGTCCTACATAAAAGGAGAATGCATGTCATCTGTTCTCTGCTGGACACTGCAGTGTTGACTCCACACTGCCCTTGCACTTTCAAGTCATTCATAAAATGCAGGATGCAGTGTGCAGCCCGCACTGTCCTGCAGAGTGTTTAAGGCGTAACGCTGTGGAAAACACTTCATGATAGTAGGAGACCTCAGTCATATGACTTTGGCAGGTCATCTGACCAGGCCCCCTCCTTCTAATGGAAATTATATAGGCTTTGTTTGTTTCAGAGACCTAAAGCTCATTTGTGAGCTGTGGTTGGCTGTAGCTTTTAAATAATAATAATAATAATAATAAAAAAAAAAACAAAAACCACAGGAAGTATTGCTCTGGTAAGGCCACACCACTGCTGTACAACTAGGCCCCTAAATGAAGTCATCCCCAGATCACACAATTACAAAGAAGGTGGCAGTTTTGTGCTAGAAAAGCCATTATACAATGTACAGTGCTTTGCATACAGTATGGGTATCCAAACAGTAAAAGGAATGCCAACAGCCCTAGAGATGTATTATAAAAAACGTTAGGTTTATTCACAGTAGACAAACACAATTTGGGATGGATGTTCTTATTCATAGAGCATATACAGTAGCGTTGAGGAGCCTCTTGCTAATTGGATTTACTTTGGTCTGCTTTTGGGGCTGTAGCTGTGCACTCTTGATACCAGGTGCCACAGCTTAAATCACCAACAAATGGGTGAACTATCTATACTTTGTTGTTTTGCGCAAGTATTCACTCCTCTTGGACTCTTGTAATGTTACAGCCTAGAGTTCAGACTGATGCAGTTACGATTTTATGTCACTTATCTATGCAGTGCATAGAGCTGAAGGGGAAATACCTATTTTATGTTCTCAATTTGTTTATAATAAAATAAAAAGTTGAAGTGTTGTATAAGGAAATGATACAGCTAGACAACTGTGAGGAATACATATTTACTATAAAGAGAAATTCCACCATTTGCAAAAAAAGTAATAAACACAGCAACAATTTCTTGCAATGAAGCCTGCAGAGTACTGCAACTGTGAGCAGAGAATTGTGGGTGCATTGCGCAGACTACTCTTGTGTCTTATACCCCAGAGACCAAGTTTGTATGGAGGTACGGGTTTTCTGTTATGAGGCTGGAGGAATCAGACAGAGACTACAAACTGCTGTGATGTCACCTTCCTGCTGCCACTAACTGAGTCTCTCTCCCACATTAGTTGATGGGACTTGTAAGAATTGAGTGGTAGTGGCCTTACACCTAGATGACTCGGCTGTGTGTGCAAAGTGTGCTGAATTCAACAATCACAACACACTACAAGAAGCACTCTGCGACTTAAAAAAGGGGGGAAGGCAGTTGGGTTTAGGGGGATGGTGCATGTAAGCATGCTTTGTGCAATACCTTAAACATCGGTGTAACATGAAACATGGCGTTAACCTTTAAAGGAAAAATCCACATTTGGGGTGGAACATGTAACTTGTTTCTACTCCTGCAGTATCTCACCATCCCACCCCCCCTTCCCACTGTGGCAGTGAGCCAAGGATTTTCTCCCTGCACCCACTGTCACAATTTGAAAAGAACGCGGCCGTTTCGGGCTTTGCCAACACAGCTGCTTCATTCAGTCGCAAAGATCTGTGAAATTGTAGTTCTCAATTAACTACCAGAACGCTAGTGAGTGCTCTAGGTAGTTCAATTGAGTCTTCTTGTTATTGTGTAATGCTTTCCAGGCTCCTCCCAAAATAAATAAATACATAAATAAATAAAAAAGTAAATGCACATTTTTTTACCAGCAAAAAAAAAAAGTGCATTTATTTAATTTTTAGAAAGGTGAATTTAACCTTTAAGTCAGGGCTCAACAAAGCCCAGGTGCCAAGTCACCACGGCGACCAGAAACTGCAGCCCACACCATTGACTCCACCAGTTGTACTCCCCCTAGTATGTATGATGCATGCATATCCTTAGCCCCCAAGTGCATACCTTTACATTTATCAACACTGAATCTCATTTGCCACACAGTTCCTAATTAACCCCTTCATGCCTAAGGGTAATCATGCAGAGCTTATTACAAATGTCCATATATATAAAAGAACATCTGGGTAGCAGTGACCATAACATGAATTCATTTACTGGTAGCTGTAAACAGCGAGCACATACAGGAAAAATAAAAATGCTCAATTTTAAGAGAGCAAATTTTCAAAGGCTGAGAGCTGCTCTCCAAGGCTGGGAGGGATTATTGACATCAATGAACACAACACAGAAATTGGAGTTCTTCAAAAAGACTATGTGAACACACTGCTAAATATTTTCCCATGGGCAACAAGTTTAAAAGGCTACAAATCAAACCTACGTGGCTTACGGCCAAAGCTATAGATAAGAAAATAACTTTTATGAAATATAAAAATGAAGGAACGCAATCATCGTTTAAACATTACAAAGATTATAACAGACTATACAAAAAGGAAATAAAGGCCGCAAAAGTTGAAAATGAACGACAGATTGCAAAAGATAGCAGGACCAAAACCAAAAAATTCTTCAAATATATTAATAGTAAAAAAAGTCCAGTCTCAGCATGTAGGCCCTAAAAAAAATCTAGAGTGGGTGATTGGGGACAAAGAGAAGGCAAATTTATTAAAAACCTTCTTCAGCTCTGTGTATACAAAAGGAGCATGGGGGAGCTCTTGTCCATAATGGGCATAGTATTGACACAGCTCCAGATGATCCACATTGGCTCACAATTGAATATGATCCAAAAATATTTAGACAGTATAAAGGTGAATAAAGCACCTGGACCGGATGGCATACACCCACAGGTCCTTAAAGAATTGAGCTCTGTCATTTCAAAGCCAATGTTTCTAATTTTTAGGGACTCTTTAATGACTGGCATAGTACCACTGGATTGGCTTAAGACCAATGTGGTGCCAATATTTAAAAAGGGGTCAAAATCTTTACCAAGTAATTACAGATCGGTTAGTTTAACTTCTATAGTTGGGAAGATACTGGAGAGTTTAATAAAAGACCACATAGATGAGTTCTTGCTGGACATAAATATATATAAATACATCAGTGGTTAATAAAGTGGACTCAGTGTAGAGTTATTCACCCTGAGGTCATCACAGAGGACAAGGGAGCACTCTTTACGTCTGCAGGAAATGACATTTAATCTCCAAATATGGAAAGGTTTCTTCACAGTAAGAGCTGTGAAAATGTGGAATAGACTCCCTAAACAGTTGGTTTTGGCCAGCTCAGTGGATTGCTTTAACCACCTCCCACCATATAGTAATATGAAGGCCGCAAGGTGGTTCTCTCGTTCTGGGAGGATGTCATATGACGTCCTCCCATTTTAACTGCGCATACACGGCTCGTGGAGTGCGCAGCGCGGTGATCGGCGGTGCGCTGTGTCCCTCGGACACAGCGGATCACCGATCCACGGAAAGAGCCGAAGATGTCGGCTTGGTCATATGATCAGCTGTGTCCAATCACAGCTGATCACATGTAAACAGGGAAATGCCGGTTATCAGCATTTTTCTCCTCTCGAGCTGTCACGCTAACAGCTCGAGAGGAGAGGAGAGCCGGTAATCGGCATTCCGCGGAGGGGACATGTACACTGATCATCAGAGCACTGATGATCAGTGTGCCCTGATGATCAGTGTAGCCCCAGCAGTGCCACCTGTCAGTGTCCATCAGTGCCAGCTGTCAGTGCTCATCAGTGCCACGTGCCAGTGTCCATCAGTGCCACATCAGTGCCCATCTGAGCTGTCTTTCAGTGTCACCCATCAGTGCCAGTCAGTGCCAACTATCAATGCCAATCAGTGCTGCCAATCAGTGCCGCCTATAAGTGCCAGCCAGTGCCACCTATCAGTGCGCATCAGTGCCACCTATCAGTGCCATATATCAGTGATGCCTGTCAATGCCCATCAGTGCCACCTACCAGTGCCTCCTCATCAGTGCCACCTATCAGTGTCCATCAGTGCCCATCACTGCAGCCTCATTAGCGCACATCAGTGATGGAGAAAAATCACTTATTTTCAAAATTTTATAACAAAAACTAAGAAAACTATTTTTTTTTTCTAAATTTTCAGTGGTTTTTGGTTTAAGAATAAAAAACCCAGAGGTGATTAAAATACCACCAAAATAAAGCTCTGTCACAAAAAAATTATAAAAATTTAGTATGGGTACAGTGTTGCATGACCACGCAATTGTCATTCAATAAATATCATTTATAAATATGTTAAAAAGTAAAGTCCATGACCATGCTCCACTACCCGGACAATGCTCATTGATTGGCAACATGTTGGGAGGGGCTTAGCCAGTGACGTTCATCACATGCCATGAGCACAACCTCACCTTGTTTGTTTTATGCTCAAGTTTTTCTTGAATCTTGTAAGTACCGCCTGTAGGAATCATGCACACAGAGATGGATGCAAACCACCTTTGGCAAAGGCCTCCATCTTCGATCATTTTCTACTCCCAAATCAGCTTCCTTTATCCCCCCTCCCTCTCTGTTGAGTGACACGTGGTCCCTAGGTGCTAAGTTCAAAAAGGCAAGGCCCAGCGGGGGGAGCTCATGGCTATAAACCCCAATTAGCCTGGCACCCATATGTCTGTGAGACTCTTGCTGGAGAAGGATCGTAAACCCATAAACCAAGCCCTTCACTGAGTTCAAAGACATTCCAGATAAGTCATAAAGCAGACATCACATTCAAGACCCACTTTCCCCTATGATTACATATCTTAGAATATAAGAGACTTACATAAAAACCAGGCATATATTCAGACCGCTCACTTTAATACAAGTCGCCTGACAGCTACAGGAGAGCAGAAAATGATATCTCCTCAACCATCCCAGCAGGTATGTCATATTTCATATCTAGACGTTCAGCAGATGATTCTGCGTATTAATCTACTCATGGATAGAATGTTATATGTATCCACGGAAACTTATTGTGCTGATATCAACTTGGGAGGGATTTTGGTCCTAGCTAGGGTCTCCACCTACACCTCCCTCCCCAAATGAGGCGATTGGTTCTCTGCTTCAGGGAGACACCCTGCTGAGTTGCTAGAAAAGCTGTTATGCTTGGAGCAGAAAGCTAAGCCGAGTTGAAATTGAAGATTCTCCCTTGTAACATTGGAACCAACTTTGGGAGATAAAGCACCCTTTTGGATCAGGAAACTTGAAAGCTGCTTACACCAAGGCTTTTGGCAAGTACTTTATCTAAATCCTGTTCTCTTTGCTGTGTTATTGCTCTTTGTATATGTATATATATGTATATACATATATATACACATATATATATATACACACATATATATATATATATATATATATATACATATATGTAGCATATATAATATAATATATATATATATATATATTGGCTACATCTTTTCTGTAAATATTTTTATTGCACCCTTTTGACCTTTTAGTAATAAATCTTACTTTCTGAAAGTGTTGAACTGTTTCTAAAGCTCTTTAATGCAAACTAAGAACCCCTGCCTCTGAAGAGCGCTACTGGGTGTTTGTTTTAAACTTTGGTATATCTCTGCCTGCGGTGACAGTGGTATACCGACGCTTATGCAAATATCATAGTGTTATTGCTGATATTTCCGAGTTTCCTCTTTCTCTGTACAAAAAGGAGGTGGTGGCAGTGTGAAGGGTCAATTGCATAATTAACCTGACCCAGTAACAATCGCTCCCAGGCTGCAAGTACAGATTGTGGTCCATTAGCTGGAAAATCTTTGTGCAGGGTGCAGCTGGGCATGGCATTGTTACGTACGTGACAGCGCGGTTTTAGATTGGCTAGTCCTTCGGTCATGAGTTTGGTGAGAAAGGCTGGGGTCTGACGCCGCAATCGTCACACCGTCTTTTTTTGAATAAAGTGATTTTAAATGGTATAACACCATTGTGGCTCCCATGGTTCTCTTTGAAGCGTGCCAGGGAGACAACTATTGTCTACTGATGTCAAAGGAAACTGCATAGTGAATCGCAGTGGATCTTGCTCATGGGCACATATCAATCTCTGTATTGGAGATCAATTCATTTTGGTAAGAGGCCATATATGTGTGGTGGAGGATACAACACCGACACCGTTGTCTATGGATTGATTCTTGTCACAGTACTTGTTAGGACTCACTTTCAGTATATGGACTTCGGGCTTGCATATTGGTTATATATAAAATTCTGAATTTCCATTGTGTTTTACATACACTATTTTTATGACTAACTTCATATGCATCACTATAGGTGTATTTAATTCTTTGGAATAGCGCACCATAATTTGTGGTCAATTTTCTAGCATAATATGGGAGAGAACTGTCAGAACTGGCCTGGTAGACAAGTGGTTAATAATTATGCTGCCAAATGAGTGTGTGCTGTAAATTGCCTTCAGCATTGCCCCTGTTTCTTCTTGCTGGTGACTGCCTTTTTGCTGAAGCCCAGAGCACCTGAGCAGCAGTAAATCTTTATGCTGTCAGCAGATTGGCTCAGATTTTCACCACATTGCCAAACAATAATAATGATGAAAAAAGGATCAACTGAGAATGCGCAAAGCAGGGTGGGACAGTGTATTACTGAATTTTTAACAGTATAGACACTTATTTTTAATGTGTTTCACATAGCTATACCTGAAAAAGGGGTCAGCATGAAGCAATCTAACAGGACTAAAGTTACACTTTAAGTGTATGTCTAGCCAAAAACTATTTTTTGCTTTACTGCTATCCTGGAAGGATTTTACTGCTATCCTGTGCTCCCCTTCACTTATTTTCCAAGTGATGTTTTACCTGACAGGAAGTGAGGGAAAATGTATATCAGCAAAACAGACTGAAGCAAAAATACACTGGAGCACTCAGAATCTGGTGCAGCTGTGCATGGTAGCCAACCACCTTCTAACTTCAATTTCTAGTTCAATTAAGTTTGGACAATAAAATCTGTAAGTTGAATGGTTTCTATGCAGAGCTGCACCAGATCTTGCACTCTTCTGTTTTAGTAATTTTTATTCCTGTCTCTGTCCCAATTGCAGATTTTCTTCATCTATCGGTGAAATCTTTGTAAATGGGACAGAAAACGAAGGAAGATCTCTTTAACCGCTTTCCTGCCACCCTACAGTAGAACTACTACTACTACAGGGTGACAGGACTGTGCAAAATCACGTATATGTACATGATTTGCATTTCCAGGTAGTGTGTGCATGCGTGCGTCGCCCTACCTGTGCTGCCATTGGCTGCTAGGGATGTCAATTACTGGGTCCCGGTTGGAGATTCCCCGCTAGAACCCGGCGATCATCAGGGAAAGCTGACAGGGGAGAGACCTGTGTGTAAACAACACAGGTCACTCTTCTGCCAGCAAAGACATGCTGCTTTGTATTTCTCTACACACACACACACACAACAGATAATGTAAAACAGCACACAGTTAACCCTTTGATTGCCCAGTTGTTAACCCCTTCCTGCCCAGTGTAATTAGTACAGTGTCCGTGCTTTTTATACTGATCACTGTATTAGTGTCATTGGAATGTCAGTGGCAGTTATTCAGTTCCTACCCACTGTCAGAATGCCCACCACCTATAAGTCGCGATCACCGCCATTACTAGTATAAAAAAAATTAAAATAAAAAAATCCAGTATATAATTTGTAGACGCTATAAATTTTATGTAAACCAATTAATTTACATGTATTGGAATTTTTTTTTTTTTTTAGCAGACATGTAGCAGAATACATTTTTGTCTAAATTTATGAAGAAATTTGATTTTTTTTAAATTTTTTTTTATTGGATAGGTTTTATAGCAAAAAGTTAAAATTATTTTTTTTTTCAAAATTGTCGGACTTTTTTGTTTATAGAGCAAAAAATAGAAAACCGCAGAGGTGATCAAATACCACCGAAAGAAAGCTCTATTTGTGGGGAAAAAAGGACATAAATTTCATTTATGTACAGCATTGCATGGCTGCGCAATTGTCAGTTAAATTAACGCAGTGCCGTATTGCAAAAAATGGCCTGGTCAGGAAGGGGGGTAAATCCTCTGGAAGGCAAGTGGTTAATAGAGCTCTAAAAAAGCAGTAAAACGTTTCTAAATATCCCACCTTCCTATACATATATATATAAAAAACTTGACAGATGTTTTCAAATTGCATGATTACTTTTGTATTCTGATTTTCCACAACATTTTCATGTGTTTACCAGCCCATTCTTATCTACTTTATGGGGGGAAAAAAAAAAAAAAAGAAGCTTTGGCTTGGACAGGTGTGGGTCTAGACCTAGACCTAGAAGAGCCCAGTTGAAGCCCAACATCTTAGATCAATTTCCCACTTGCAAACTGAGCTTTTAGCAATTACATACAGAAGGCCCAGTGAGATTTTTCAAATGATAAGCAGTGGGCCAAATCCCCATTGAAAGCAATGGGAGGCTGACAGCTTCCACAGCTAAACACAGCCACTTGCATACAATTGCTCAAGCAGCAATTACCTGAGAATAGACAGCCCTAGATGCAGACTGCCCGCATCCAGGGACAATCATCCGCAGGTAATTGTTGGAATCCCACTGGAAAATTACAAGCATTTTTAGTCAATTAACTTTTTTTTTTTAATCACAATAAAAACATATTTTGCACCTTCAAAATATTACATTTGCTGTGTTAAACAAAAGTACACATCAATAAAATCCTTTTAATTCTGCATTGCAACATGAAACAAAATATGAAAAAGTCCAGGTAGGGCGGGGGCAAAAATTATTTTCATGGATTTTAAACCAGTGTTAAATTTAATCGCATACAGAGTTTGTTATTTGTTTATCCAATATAAATACCTCTACTGGGGTGCTATCTGTATAGTATCCTGTATACCAAATTTGAAAAAGCAAATGAGAAACATTCTGAGCTGTA